ATGTGACAGCTTCTAAGACACAATAGTCCAGACATGAAAATAGAAATTAATTACCACTTTACTGCAAAAGACAATGGGCAACCTTCTGCCCCCCTATCCCAAGACCTTATGCTCAGAGGATCATGACTGCAGATAGCCTTCTGCTGGGTCTCTACATAGAAATAAATTTTACTCTGGCTGAACAACCTTGAAGGAAATATCTTTACTTGGAAGATTAATGAGCACCTTCTGCTGAATTACTTGTTCACCCAAACCCCCATCTCCCCATTGTACAAGCAGAATATATTAGAAGGCAGTAGCAGACCTAGGAACAGCTGCAGTAGTAAGTGAAGGCTTTCTTCAATCCAGCAACTGAAAAAGACCTCTTACCTGACTTCTTAGAAAGTTTCATTTTCACTAGAGGTGCATCAGAGGACTGAAGGTTTACGTTTGGTAAGACTCAAGAAATGAAAAAATATGAGAAAAAGTATTCGTAACCCGGCACATGGTACTTTTGTTTTTATGTGAAGTCCTAGTTCAGGTCTCATCAAAACTGTACATTTGCATATATGCAAGTATTTGTTTTACAAACAGGGATTTTTTAATGGTGGAAATTATTTTGTCAAAAAAAGTTCCTGACAAGATCAGTTTGACATCCTTATCTGTCTTTATTACTCAATGATTTCCATTTAAAAATAAGGTGCTCTATAAGCAGTGGTATATGTGAAAGCTTTGTGGGTTTGGGGTGAGTTTGGGGATTATTCTGCACCTCTGAGGACTGAGCTCTGATCAAAGCAAATGATGGCCCTTCCCTGCATGGATTCTCTATAGTGATACAGCTCAATGTTTTTCCTCTCCCTCAGTGTGGAACTAATCTGATCTTGTTCTTTTCTATCCATCTGCTCATTTTCACTTATTCAATACCTCTGAAGTTTTCTGTTCTGCATCATATGTGATTAACATTAACAGATCTAGAGAGAAAGTGATGACATTATCTCTGAGAAACCTATCTAAAAAATAGAGCAAAATCGAACCAGTGCAGCACATGCTAAATGAATGAAACCTTGGCCCCATGATAGATCTCATCTAGTGATTGGGCAATAAGAATTCTTGTTCCTTGTGTTTTCTTTCCTAGTCATCAAGAAGGTTTTGGTCAAAACAATAATCATTACCGTTTTCAACAATGTGGAAGCAAAAATAAAATTCTTGCCAGTGAACTTTGCAGATGCCACAAAACCCATGCAATGATAATTGGTGAGGAGGACAGGTTTAGCTCTGCAGAAAAGCATGAATCACATGCTAGACTGTGCCCACATTATGGATGAGAATGTATGACACATTTACCAGTGGTGTTTATATTTTAGGAAACAGTGACTTGGAAGCAGATTTGAGCTGAACATGAGCTCAAAATGTGATAAAGTAGCTAAGAAAACAGTAACAATCTTATATCTAAAAGGAGGGAACTGCTGAACAGAAAAGATGGTGTTACCACATGATGGTTTATCAGTGAAAGTTTGTATTCAGTTCATCCATCTGTACATTAGCAACAATACTAAAATGACAGGAATTGTCTAGAAAAGAATGATTAAGAGTATTAGCAACCTGGAGAGTAAAGAAGTTCAATCTAATTAAGCTTTGGCGCATAAATATATTGCAAGACATTAAGATAGTGCAATATTTTGCAGAACATTATTTTTGCTGTGTTGGCTCTCCACAGGTGTGTTCTTTACCTTGTGGGCAACACAAAGTTGTTTTGTCCTCAAGGAAAAGGAGGACAGCTAGTTTACATTCATTATGGTTAAAAGTGAACACAAGAACCACTGCTTCAAAAGTACGTTAAAAGATTATGTGATCAGGACACAAAAGTACAAACATGGGAAGCTGTCAGTTTTGTGGTCCCTTTAAACTAACATAATCCAGCAGATGAAAGCTGAAGCTGGAAGCATTGAAACTGGAAATGAAAACCTAGCTTTCTAGAGATGCTAGATCTATCAATTACATTCTTGAAGCTAAAGTTACAAATGTTTCTAAAAGACCACATAGAACTTTTAACTTTGATACAGATAATCTCTTAAGAATATCTTGGATATCTTCGCATCTGGAATATTGCGTCCAGTTCTGGGCCGCTCAGTTCAAGAAGGACAGGGAACTGCTGGAGAGAGTCCAGCATAGGGCTACAAAGACGATTAAGGAAGTGGAGCATCTCCCTTAAGTGGAAAGTCTGAGGGAGCTGGGTCTCTTTACTTTGCAGAAGAGGAGACTGAGGGGAGACCTCATTAATGTTTATAAATATATAAAGGGTGAGTGTCACGAGGATGGAGCCAGGCTCTTCTCAGTGACAAACAACGATAAGACAAGGGGTAACGGACACAAACTGGAACACAGGAGGTTCCACTTAAATTTGAGAAGAAACTTCTTCTCAGTGAGGGTAACAGAGAGGTTGTGGAGTCTCCTTCTCTGGAGATGTTCAAAACCTGCCTGGCCGCCTTCCTGTGCAACCTCATCTAGGTGTTCCTGCTCCAGCAGGGGGATTGGACTAGATGATCTTTTGGGGTCCCTTCCAATCCCTAACGTTCTGTGATTCTGTGATTCTGTGATTCTGTGGATCTGATTTGTGCAAGCACATTATACAAAGAATATGTTTGTAAGATCAAGAAATTATGAGGCTGCTTCTCCCTCCTGGACATGTGATCTATACAGTCACCATACCGCCAAGAGAATAAATAGTAAAAATTGGTTTATGGATTATAGCCATGCTGACTTCAAGTGATCCTTTATAAATTATTATTTCTTTATAAAAGACCACTTATCACTATGTTTTAATGATAAAGAAAGAGAAGACATAGCCAGCTGCAAATGAGATTAGAGTTAGGAAAGGCATGCTGAAGGTTGAATGCTTCCTCTTGCATATCAGAATCACAGCATCACGTGAAGTGATTGCATTAGTATTCAGTTGAAATGTAAGCTTGTAAACATCTTGCCATCCCTGAAGATATGTCTATAGAAAGGTTGCCTAAGGTAAATGTTTGTAAGATATACACAATGCCTGCCTCTTTGGGGATTTTTTGTGAAATATATGTGGTTATATATTTCTTCTGGTTAACAAGGAGGTCATCCCTCTATTTACTTACAGCCCAAATCCTGTCCCAAATCCTTGTAGCACTTGCACTGCTAGAAAAGCTTACAGAAATTACAGTTCCTGTCATTTGCATCCATAGAGGAGTTGAGTTTCAGTGGCTGAAGAGAGGTAAAATTGCACATGATTTTTTATTTCACTGAAGAGCCTTAGGAAAGTATATTCTACCCTATTTGCCTCAGCCTTTCTTCTTTGAAGGTTAAAATTACGTTTAAAGAAACAAGGTATTTTGCTTGCAGGATCACTTTAGTTTTTCAATACACACACACACACACACTTATACACACATACTTAGATGCATATTAAAGAACTTGCAGACTATTTCAGCCAAAATTTGACAGGAATTGATGATCTGTCAAAATCTTAGCGCAGGAGTCTTAAACAGCAGCACGCTCAGCTTTCCCAGAGCAGGAACTGATGCATGAGGTTAATCACAAGGATTCATTTTGTTGACGGATCAGAAACCCAAAGCTGGCTCTATATAATACCTAAATCCCTTAATGCAACCAGCAGAACCACAGTGCTTCTGTCCTCTAAAGATGATACTTTCTATTAATTCAAGATACCTGTTCAATCATCTCTCTTTCCAAGCTGCTCGCTCAAGGAAAGGTTTTGTGGTTGGAAGAAAGGCAAGTTCACAGTTCAGAAAGACAGGAGAAAAACTGCTGGCCCCTTTTTAGCCAGTAGGACTTTTATCACTGGCTTCAGTTCTGCATTTCACCAAATTCCTTTTGTATATGCGAAGATACATTTCTGTAGCTTTTTATGTACATTTATTTACCAAATCTGTACATGCAAAGGAAAATTAGAAACATTTCTGAACTCTAATTTCACATGGAGATGAAAGGTTTCCCCAGAAAACATAACATGAAAAATTGCAGACATGTATATATCATTCTCTAATAATTTCTGTAACATAAATTCAAAGCTCCAATCTATTGACTTCTAAGGATAAGACACTTCCATGGACAACTATAGACCATGTCAAGACAAAGTCCCACCTAGAATTAATGAGAATTTATCTGAATTTCATTCTTCGGTCTGAATTTTATAAAAAAACCAGCAGAACACATGGCAATCCTACAGCTGATTACATTTCTCCATCTCACCATGAAGGCAGGGAAAATGGGATCGAATGACTTCTGATGAAGAGGGCAATATGGACACGGAGTAGCCCGTTTTCTCTGAATCACTTCAAATAGGTAGTGAAAGCTGACTAATCATATTAACATTTAAGGGGATCTTTTTATAACAATGGCTAGGAGATATCTTTGTTCATACCATTCTGTAAAGAAATGACCTGAACAAAAAACACGCTTTGCATAAATCTCCTATTTATCGGACTAACAAGCATACACTAACCAGTGTGTGGAGAAATCACAATGCAGTTTGAGGAAATTTCTTAGCATAGGCTGTAATCCCTGAAATTATTAAAATAAACAAACAAAAAAGATATGATAAGAGGTCTGGAGACAGGATAAATATGGTCAGTTCCTTCTGCACCAGAATTACTATGAAAACCCCCATATTTTTTGAGACATTTGCTTTCTGTCAACCTGTTCAGCTAGTCTATGATATTACTGAAGCAAAAATATAATAGGCATTAATGTATTTGTAGCAAACAGACACTATCTGGCTAAAAACTGTAAATATCTATGAAAAAAGCTATGAGGTATTTATTTGAAACACTGATATACTCTTATCACTCAGTGGTGTTATATCTGAAGAACGAGAGGTGATCAGATCAAAGTTTTAGTGAAATAGACTTATGGTTACAAAATATTTTACTAAAAATAGCCTTGCTGCTTCAAATATGGTCACAAACATTCATTTACAATTTGAGTGTAAGTGTATGTAAAAAGATAAGGACACTATCTACATTTACCTACTCTGATCCCAGTTGGCTGCAAAAAGCAGAAGAATCTTCCTGCCACAGTGGTCGCGATTTTCCAGTACTCCTGGGAATCCATCTGTCAGAGCCCGTTTGATTCCTGGATCATCAGCCTTGAAGTTTTTGAACATATCCAGATTTAATTGGCGGTACTGGAAGTACTGAGCCAGCAGTCTGAAGGCCTCAGTTTGGTGAAACTTTCTGGCTCGGAGAAATCTCAAGATGAAGGCATCATCTGTACGTAAAAACCCAATGTCGGGCCTCGTGATGATCATATCCCTGACTTGCTGGATATCCTGATGCAAAATGTCTGGGTTTTCATTCAGTTCCAGGCGGGCCTTCTCTATAGTCTCTGGACTAAGTCCAGCTTGTAAATGGGTCATCTCTGCAAAAACCTCTTTTCCAAATCCTTAACTTCAGATATTTTAGTAGAAGAAGTGCTGTTCCCATTCAATTGATGGTCTGCTGTGAGTGTGAGCCATTCAGAAGCTTTTTGCTATCAAGCTGGTATTTAACAAATGAAAGCGAAGAGCTTTTCTTATTCTTGCAGAGAGTAACAGGCAGGTCACATGTAGCATAATCCATCCAAAGGAAAGTGTTTTTTATTCCATCACTTACTGAAAGAAAAAAGCAGATAGATGAAAGAAAGATTAAATATGTATATAAATCTTACAGGGATGCATTTCTGAACTTTCTATAGCATTAAAATAGCTTTGTGTGCTTCATATGTAAGAGGATACTGGCCAAAAAATTTCACAATGGATGCATTTAAGATAAAGCAGTCACTGACATCTTGACTGTATATATTCAAGATTTAAGAAAGGCAATCTGAGTAATTGATAATTAATACTAAGCTGTATCTATTTACTATTAGAATACGCTTTGCAAAGTTTTCTTACAGAAGTGTGGGAGTTCCAGCAGCCCATAACTTAAAGTCCAGGATGACAAAAGCAAAAATAAGAGTAATTTTTTTCCACCCCTAACAGGAGCTACATTTCAGCTTCCGAAGTATGCAGATTTACACTTATCATATTAAGGATAACTCCTGTTTGATTTGGTTTTATCGCTCATACTATCAGCTCATAGCTTTCTTTGAATTAGCCGCTGAGCTGATTTTAAAACTGATTTTAAAAACCCTAAAACTCCACCAGCATCAGGGGTATTTTCCACTCGATAAAACCTTACTGAATATATTTCCCATTGAGACTTAATGTATCTTCATGGGAAACTTCCCATGAATAAAGTTTTTGATGAATCTAAGCTGACAAGGTTGGTGTTTTAGTTGAAGAGATGCATTTTATTACAAATTCTTTTTTTGTGTAGCTTTCCTGAATACCTAGTTCTGAATTTCATTTTCAGTCCTGCACTTTACCTAGTATTTGTTTTTACAAGTGTTAGAAGAAAAGCTGCTTAAGCTGTTATGTATGAGCAAAACGGTACAGTGAATCTCTTACATTTCAGTGACATAATTAGCTAGAGGCTGTCATCAAAGTCTGTGTAGTTACACTTGATGAAATAAGATCAAGGTCTGTTCCAATGTGAAATGTTTGTGAAGAAAGATCAAGATCCATCCAATTTTTCAGCCATCACAAAAACAGAAAAGCAAACAAAAATCCCCACTGCTTAACTGCTCTCTCCCTCCTGCTAATTTCTGAAAAAGAAAATTTGGTTTTAAAAATTAAAAGGGAATCCCTCAGTGAAAGATATGTTTTATTGTATTTGAAGAAAGCTGTTTGAAAAGTTATGAATTATTTATAGGAAAACAACCATTTCGCTCAGCTACTCCCCTGGGTTCAGCGTTCCCATACCAAACAAAGGGGACAGCAGCAGCCAGAGCATTTCTTCATCCAGGGCTGCTCAAAGTTACATTGCAGAACTTGGAAGTCAATCAGCACAAGGGGTGTCCGAGTTGCCGGTTTTGTCAGCTTGCATGTCATTGATAGAAACTACATTTTTTTAAGAAGAGCTGCCTGCAGGGCAGCGTATCCTGTGATTCATCAGCCTGAGAAAACTTGGGAAAAGACAGAGCCAGGAGGAAAGGGAGCTGGCTGCCTTTGACAAGTCACTACAGAGTGCAAATGACTCCAGAAAAACAAGTCCTGAAGTTTTGAGAGGGTAATCTGTGGGTGAAGTTTATTCAACTCTTAAAGAAATATGAGTTGTATTACAGGTGGATGGCACATATAAAAATAAAGTATAAAATAATTTGCTTTCCTCTTGCCTTTATTAGACCAGATTAGGATAACCCTGATGGTTTCAACTGCATTTTGCTGATGTAAAACCGATGTAGGCCATGGGAAAATCAGGCCAATATTTTGTTCTTAAGTTCTCAAATTAATGGTGGCATTAACATTTTCTTGTGTAAATAATGCTTTTTTTTACAATTGTCTCCATGAGAAAGTTAGAGAAGCTCAGTGTGCTTAAATGGGACACAGTCACTGGGGTAGTGTAGTGTAAGGATTGATTCTTAAAAAAAATAGATTTTAATGCTAGCTGTACCCAGTAGTTTTAATTGCAAGTCAAGGCCAGTAGTTCTTGAAGGTGCTTGGTAGAGGGGTGGAAGCAAGGAGCTTATCTGGTGTTTGTGCCAGCTCTGGCTCAGTGCTTACTAAGAATTTGAACACCTTTGGAGCTCCTGTTGATTAGAATTACAGAATCATAGAATCACAGAATAGTTTGGGTTGGAAGAAGACTTAAAAATCATCCAGTCAAACCCCCCTGCCATGAGCAGGAACATCCTTCACTAGATCAGATTGCTCAAAGCCCCATCCAACCTGTCCTTGAACACTTCCAGGGAGGGGGCAGCCACAACTTCCCTGGGCAACCTGTGCCAGCATCTCACCACTCTCATTATAATAATTTCTTCTCTATATCCAATTTAAGCCCATTCTCTTTCAGTTTAAAACCATTAGCCCTTGACCTATTCAAGACCTAGTAAAAAGTCTTTCTCCATCTTTCATATATACCCATTTTAAGTACTGAAAGGCTGCAATATTCTAACCCTGGAGAGCGAAAAAGAGCCTTCTCTTCTTCAGGATGAACAACCCCAGCTCTCTGAGCCTGTCTTCATAGAAGTGCTCCAGCCCTCTGATCATTTTTGTGGCCCTCCTCTGGACCTGCTCTAACAGGTCTAAGGACTTGTGGCAGTTAACTGTGATCCCACTGGATTCATCCATTTTCTGAGAGTTTATGGGGGTAGAACTGTCCCTTCTTTTGCTACTTTTCTGACTCCCATATCCACCAAGATGCTTCTTTGGAAATAAGGCAAATTCTTTAAGGGTCAACTGCAGTATACTCCAGAAGAAAATGGGGTTATACCAAGGAGACAGTCTGGTCCTTCAGATTTTCTTATAGGATCCTCAAGCATTTACTGTCATTTGTTATGCTACTTATTGTCATTACAGTTTCCTACTGTTTTTACCTTAAATGGATTAGTACCCTTGATGACTAGGATGATCCCATGGTGAGGGAGATATGGTCCTCTCCTGTCAGATGTTGTTGCCAAAAAGCAACCTACAAATACTCAATCTAACAAAAGATACATTTCTAAATGCATTTCAGGTATTCTTACAGTGAGCTGAGCTGTAGCTATGTGTTACATCTTACAGGAGAGCCTCTATAGATTACCCTGATTATCAGCTGGAATAGACTCTGCACTAAAATACTTTACTGGTGTAATGTTATATATTGCAAAATAATCCAGAATACATATGAACAGTGTTGTCACTATCTGAATCATAACACAAATCATGGGGTTAGTACTCCGGTCTAGCACCATTGACTTCAAGGAGTCTGATTTATATCAGTAAATTATTTGGTTCTCCCACTGCTTACCTTGACAATAAATTTAATGCTCCATATCTACCCAGTTTAATTGTCATTGTACTTTCTCAAATGGTACTGATTTATTCTGATTTCCAAAGGTGTAACAGAAGCCCCTTCTCCATTTCAACCTCCTCCCACACATGCCAATTTCTCCTTCTCTCCCAGTGTTGTGTACAGCTCTGATCCATCTGCCAATTTTTCAGACCTTTACATCTTTGTTCTGCTTCTTTTTTCCTCCCCCCCAAATGAAGATGCTGTCCTTTTTTCCCTATCTTGAATATTGTCACTGTATGTTGGCACACTAGACTCTTTGTTATAATCTCAACAGCTGTTTTTCTGTGTTGTGACTCTTTGTTCCCAAAGGACTATTTGCTCTCCTAATGTCTTTTCACAGCCACTTACAATAAATCATCCCTCCAAAGGAACAAATCCCAGCTTTAAGTAAGGAAAAAGAATTAACAGAGGTTCAAAGTGCAGCATATTAATAAAGAAAAAAAGGGAAATTTCCACCAAAATTGCGGTATCACATACCATTTCAGCTTACACATTTTCATACCCAACAAAAGAATGACAAGGGACAGAGAGTGGCTTTAGGATGGGTAAATCATTGAAAATGGGATACATTCAATATCCCTTCAGACAAACAGCTTACATTTTTGCCTGACTCTCAAAACTAAAATTTAGTTAATAATATAATATATAGTAATACTTAATAATTAACTATAATTAAAATAATATCTTAAGGAAGTATATATAACACTTTTCATCAAAAGATCTTAATACACTTTAAGATGTATTAAGCTTCTCACAGCTTCTCACAGCTTCTGGATCAGATTCAATCCCTATTTGCTCTATATACCCTGGAAATTTGGCCAAAATTCTACTCTCAGTGATGACAATGATTGTCTGGTTCATTTTGTTCCTGCCTGCTTGGCTGTCCCTGCAGCACCATTTGCCTCTTGAAGCATCGTCCTCGTGTCCATTTGGCCCTTCTCTATCCACTTCAGATCCAGAAAGATTTTAGTTGCTTCTGTCTACCAAATGTTTTCCATTCAGTCCAAAGTTACGTGTCATGTGAAATTTTATTACCACAGCTTTCAAACAAGGAAGGCACTAGGGTTTGATCTTTACCTGCTATTAATAAGCAACACTGTTACGATTTGTCTCATTATATCATCCCTAACTCCTAAGATTCATACAGATATTAGCTGCAGAAATCATGCCAGAAAAGAAGGGAGTGGGCAGGGAGGAAGGAAAAATGGTAATCTAGAATGATTTCATCTCAGAGTGTGGATGTCATCTCATTGAATTGCTTTTTAAAAAATATTTTGATGTTAACTGTGGAAAACATCCTGGGGCTGTGTTCTGCATAGCAGAATTGCTCCACAAGGGCAGGGGAGGATGAATCCATAGATGTACTAGGTGACCTGCTTGGTGGATGAGGGGAA